CCCAGTGTGAGCTTTGTTCCCCAGCTTTTAATCAAATATTCAAATGCACTTTTTCTCCTCAGAGTTATAAATTAACCCTTTTCAAATTTGAAACCGCGGTGTGGGTTTGGTGTTTGGAGAGCAGCGATGGGCAACCAAGGCTAGTGAGGGGGCTGCATGAGTGTCCCTCCTTCATTTCAGTGTGTCGCAAGGTTGAAGTCACTCATGTGCACTAACCGTGACCCCAAAACAAGATTACATACATTAATACAGGGCATGCTGCATATTTCAAAAGGAGCAGAAGTGCTTTAATCATTCATATATGAATAGAACTGTCATCAAGTTCAAATAATAAAAAAGAAACAATGACACTTACTTTACAATATCACATCCTTGGCCAGCCTCTTCCCCACCTCCTCTTCCAAAAGCGTCCCATCCCTGCTCCTCTCCCGCCCTCCCAGCTCTTCTGGTGTGCCACGAATCAGCTGATTTAAGCCCTGTCCCTACTCTTCCCCCTCCCTCTCAGAGCTTGAATGCCACGAATCAGCTCTGGGAGGAAGGGGAAGGCGCAGGAGTGGGGCACGAATCAGACGATTCATGGTACTCTGAAAAAATAGGCAGGCACAGCGCCCCCCAGTGAGTGAGCTGCATATGGAACAGCCCTGGGCCACAGGTTGTAGAAGCTGTTGCCTTAAAAGCCATGAGCAGCAAAGTCCTTTGTCAAGCCACAAGGCTATATTAGGAGTATGCAGTGCAGCCTGTTGCATACATTTAACAAGGGGTTGTTGTTGTTGTTGTTTACAGATGATTGCATCTTAACATTGAAGTACAAGATAGGGTGCCATTTGCTGTATTTATGAATTCTGGAAAACGAAGTATCTTCATCCCTGAATTTTAAAAGGAATTTTGTTTCTCATGTATTACTGCATCTGGTGAAGAATGATGCACCAATTGTTGACTTAGAGCAGAGGTGGAGAACCTAAGGATCAGGGGGCTGGATGCAGCCCCCGACTTCTCTGGATCTGGCCAGCAAGGCTCAGGATTCCCCTCCCAGCCTGCTCCTGTGCTCTCTCTCCCACTCAGACCCCGCACCTGAAACCTGCTTCCTGGCAGGCCCCTCCCACACACTGAACCCCTCAGATTTGGCCCCACCCAAGAGCCTGGGGGGGGCACACACAATCTACTAGCCTAGGCTCCTCTAGGCTCTAGTGTGCGAAGGGAATGTGGGGAGTGTCTTAGTGTTTTTCTCCTTCTCAGTTGGAGACCAACTCAGTTTTTTTGCTTCTCGCTTTTGTGTGATCCCGTCTGATTTGTCTGTGGGTCAGCAGCTCCCAACCCAAAAACGGTTGCCCACCTCTGACTTAGAGCCTGATCTTGAGAGGTGCTGAGTGTCCTCAATTTCAGCTTACTTAAATGAGAGGAAGGAAGAGACACACTCTCTACCGATCAGATCCATACTTGACATTGAATCTGTGATGGATTAGCGCTGTCATCCTGGGACTAGATGAAAAGGGGGGCCTGTCTTATCCCATTCTACCTAACAGCAGGAAGAAAGGCTTTGCCTCATCCCAGAAGGGCATACGAAGGCGGCCAAATATGGCAAAGAGATAGAACTTATACCCAAGAACACATGAACAGGACTGGAGCGCCATGAAACTGACACAATGAAAACTGAAAAAATGATGAAAGGATGTACTCCTTTCTCTCCTTTCAGTTAATGGAAGGATGTTGCCCACAACTCCTCCTTGCCCGAGGTTTTGTCCCACTTAGACAGTACATTAAAAGCCCTAAATCAAGTGGCCAGGTTCCCAAATCTTTCAGCAGCTCCCAGGGTTCTCTGGGGGTCAGTAAGAGGTTTGTTTTTCAGGGGAGATGCTGAGTGCTAAGCACTTTAGCAATCTTAGGTGAAATCTTAGCCCCGTGGAAGAAAGCAAGAGCCTGGTCATGACTTCTGTGAGGCCAGTATTTCTCTGCTGGTTATAACAGAACTGTCCTGCGGCCTTTAAGTTCCACACGTCCTGAGGGAGAGATTCTGCCTGACAAGGCACAAGCTGTTCAGCAACATTTGAATTCCTACAAGGGGATTCTCCTTTCCTAAATAACAGATGGGATTTTAAAGCATCGGGAGTGTTGAGATAAACCTAAGCTGCAAGGCTTGGTTGGGTTGTGAATTTCAACTTCCTCAAATCTTGCGGGGAGTTCAGACCTCAGGATGTGATGGTGTTTCCTGAGCCTGTCTCTAATGAATATGTCACTGTGATGCATTGTATGACTCTGGTCTTACAAACAGATGCACCAAAGTACATGCCTATGCTTATATGGCACATCCCTAAAGTCAAAGGGACTCCTCGTGAGCATAAAGGTCTATGAATGCATCTGATAGTAGATTCTGGGCCAACACTCATAACCTTCACAGAGCATTCTCCTTAGTGTGTTACCTTCCATGCATTTTAAAAACAAAGGGAGCTAGAATCCACTTGACTGGCAAAGAAAATGTCATTCTGTCTCCTTTGTGATCTAGGGAACTGACAGGGTAACCCCAGGCATCACTAGAAAAAACATTGCCTTTGACTATGGTAAAAGAATCCTGGACTGGATTTGTGCACTCATTGAAAAGGATGCAGAATGCAAGATCTTCCACATCCATAATCCCATGGGAAGGCAAGTAACAAATGTCAACACAGCATGTAGTTGTCTCCATGGGAGCTTCATGCAGATTAGAATCAGATTAGAAATGTGAGGCATGCAGCTAAAGCCCCACAAAGAGAGCTGAGGCAATGTTTTCTATAAAGAGACCAGTTACATTGGCTAGAAAACATTTCTTTTAATAGTACTGATGTTAACAACTTGCGGAAACCCTTTAAAACTGGGGTGGGGGGTAGAATCCATTGGTTAGATACTGTCTACCAACAGGACGTAGCTCAAGCTTAGCAACAAGGTGTGGAGGTGGCTGCAATTATTACTGAAAATGCTCAACACAGAACAAATGGTCCTCAGTAACAGTACCTCAGACAATCAGGCCCCTAAAGAGACTTGATTATAACCAATGTAAAATCAGACCCAAAGTGACTTAATTACTGGTCACTGTTTATCTGTTTTGATTGTTAGTTGTTATTAGTGGTTAAAATGTCTGTAGGAGCATTGCTGTGAATGATGCTCCATACAAAAGTAACATACAAAACCTGTGCTCCAATATGTGACAATCTAAACCAGAGGGATGATGTAATATCACCATCTGGATTAGGCTGATGATGCAGGGACAGATTCTGCCACCCTGAAATTGAGTTGTCTCATATTCTATGAGCGTCATCAAGAAATCAATGGGACTGTTCACAGAGCACGATGCCTCTCGACATGAGAAACATGTCAGAAAGTGGCCCTTCGTGTAAATAAGCCAAATTAGACTGCTCAAAACAAAAGCATGGGATGAGGAAAGGAGAAGAAATTACAGTAACAAGCAAAAACAAAAACCACAAGGGGAAAGGAATAGCATCGTATTTCTAAAAAACCCAGCTCAGTTGTGTGGATCTGGTCCAAAGCAGAACTTAACATTGTCACCACTGATGTCAACTAGAAATGGAGAATGCTCAGCACTTCCCAGGATCGGGTCCCACATTGTGTTTTTATTTCCTGTTTGTTTTCTAGACAGTGATGAGGTGAATGCAGTTTCACTTGAGCAGAGATCAGAAAATTATAATAGAGGACCATGGCTGTTGCTGAAAACAGTTCCTGATTTTCTTTTAAAGAAACCACATGGGTTCTTTCTTGTAATGCAAGCTGTGTGGATAAAAATGCTACTAACAAACAAAATATAAAAGAAAATGAAACTTCAAACCAGGTAAAGATGGTTGATTTCTGCATCGCTTTTACATAAGTTCAGAAAAATCATATCCTTCAGTACTGACATTTATGGCAAATACAACAGTAAAAATTATATTTTACAAGGCTTAGAAATCTATCCTAAGTGCTTTATCATCAGATCTGATCATTATTAGAGCCCTGCAAATCCACAGATATCGGCTTTATATCTGAGGGATCTGCAGCTGCAGATGTGGATCTGGATATTCATGGCTCACTTTTGTGGATATCACTGTGGATACAAATTTTGTATCTACAACCTTGCAAATGTGCAGATATCCTCTTTATATTTGCGGGTATCTGTATCCATGGATGTGGATGAGGATATCTGTGGCTCATTTTTGTGGATAAGGATTCACACGTGGATACCAATTTTGTATCTGCATAGGGCTCTACTGATCTCTATAAAGACAATTTAAAATCCTGATCTTGCAGCATTGAATCAATGGAAGATTTGTTGCTGACATCACTAGATGCAGGATTAAGCTTTAAGAGGCGAAGAACATGGCAGTGATGGTCACTGCTTTGGGACTTTAAAAAATCAAGGATGAAAATGGAATTTTAACCTAGGGAAGCTTGAGGATTTATTGAGCTGGCAATGACATAAAGAGATTCACCTTCAAGTCATGAGTTTGAGTCACACCCAGGTTGGTAGTTTTCATTAATCGAATTCAGCCCTGTGATGAGTGGGAACAATTTCTATAAAATCAATAGAATTACTCCTCCTTATGCCAAATTCAAATCTAATCATACAAATTGTGACCATAATATGGCTGCTTGGGAGATAAATGTCTAGATTTAAAAACACTCACCAGCAAAACTGTGCTGACAGACTCAATAGAGGCCAAGAACTGAATGGCCATAGAAATTAAACATGAAGGTCAGGGTTGAGGCTCATTGTTAGTTTTGTTGCTGTCTATGCTCTGCTTGTGTGGATAGTAAACAGGATTTTATCTCCAGGATTATCAGTTTAGCACTTTTCATAGACATTAAGGGCCTGAACCAAAGCTCACAAAAGTCAGTGGAAAGAGTCCCATACGTCTAGACTGCAGAGTTAAATCGGAAAAAGATACACAATTTGTGGTATGCAAATTGCGTATCTTTTTCTGATGTTCTTTCAAAAGAGGCTTTTCTGAAATTTGGCGCATCTACACGGTGCTAAATTTTGGAAAAACCTGCTCTTTCAACACATCCCTTATGCCTCGTAGAACGAGGTTTACGGGGTGGCAAAGGAGCACATCTGCTATTCCGAAATTTTTTTTGGAGAAGTGGACGCATTCCTTGAATGCGGCATTGATTTTCCGGGATACGTCTGGAAAAGCAAAACCTCTGGTATCCCGGAAAAGCGCTGCAGTCTAGACAAGACCTTGGCTGGAAAAGCAAAACCTCTGGTATCCCGGAAAAGTGCTGCAGTCTAGACAAGACCTTGTCTATCCAAAGGGCTTTGGAGCAGACCCTAGAGCCACTTTTATTTTTAATGGCCCAATTCATCCCTGGTTTCACTCTGTCCTGTTAATTAAGAGTAATACTGAACATGGGAAAAGCAAAGATTCTCAGGTAAAGATATTTCAGAGAAAATGTATCCATATTCCTCTGGCTTCAGATTTCTATTTGTGCTTATGTTAATTTACCTATAATGACTCCTAAGTATATGACATCTTAAAATGTAAAATTGTGGACCCATTGCCTTCAATGGAGACAGGATTTTACCCATAATCTTCACTATTTTTAACATTCATTTTTAGAAACTGTGTGCCATTTTCACTACCATAAAATCTGCTTTCATTTTTTTTTAAAGCAAAATCCTAAAATCAAACAGTAAGAATGGAATATAGGGCATGACTCAGAATTGCTTGATTGCATTGCGTATTATATCTTTGTCATGCCATTTACCACTAGAATTTATTGCCTTGACTTATAAGAGACCTTTCTACTACTTTTAAAATGTGTGGTTTGGCAGCTGTTCAGCCTAAGCAAAGAAACATCCAATCCTATTTTCATACATATGTGCAGAACTGCCCTGATCTCTGCAAGGGAAACTTACTTGCTACCAAACACAATGCAAGGGGCTGTTTTCATGGCAGTCTCTACAACCCTGATTGATTCTGGACTCCAATACCTAAGAGGTTGCTTTTCTGACCATGCACCTGATTCCAGTGGTGTTAAGCTCCTCTTGCACTATATTAAACATCCTCGACATCTACGTATAAGGGCTGAAGGCACTCAAAAGGCCTTATTCTGCACCATGGGAGTCAGTTGAATTTTAGCTGTTGACTTCAATAGGAGCAGGATTTGGTTTTCAGCAGCATTCAGGAGGTGCTCAACACCTTTCAGGATCAGGCCATATGTTCTTTTATGATGATTACGATCTCTTGATCTATTTCTGGTGACCATCCCTGGAGTGTTTTTTCCAGGGCTGGAAGTTGAACCTTTTCAGTGAGGGTCTCTCTCTGTGGGACTCATTTACTCATATGGCCCACAAAAGCTTGAGTTTTGCAAATACAAGTCCCTGAACTGCACACCACAGTAGCAAGAGCTGTGGTATATTAATAACTGGCTGTCTCTGACTGAGACAAAAAACCTGCATTTTCTTTATTTGTTTGAACTGCACCCTGATGCCACAGAAGTGAGCAGAGTGTGGAAAATCAGTACATAAATGCATAAATAAAATAAACAATGTTACATTTAGTGCACCAAAGAGAAGCAGAGAATGCCCATGCTGGGAAATCTTCCCAACCCTCCCTTTGGCAATCTCCTTTGAGCTGCTTGTCTGTAACGATTTGAGAGCAGTTTCCAAATGGATGGACCCTGAGGATGCCTGAGGTTTCCCTTTATTTTCCAAATAATTGCACAGACATAATGAGGAGTTGCTCCGCTTACAATCTGTCAGTGGAAAATTCCACAGCAGTTTCTGCAGAATATTCCCAGGCTTCTGTTAGCCAGGGGTGGATTCTTTTCCCACTGGTAGTTCAATAAATCTGTCTGGTACAAATTATGGTTTATTACAAATAACTAAAGCTCGAACTGTTATTAAGACTTCCAACACAGAAAGGCTTTTCAGAGCTATGATAACCATTTAGTTACGGAAATCAAGGCTTCGTCTGTGAAATGCTAACAAATTATTTTATGCTTGAGCAAACATTTTTAACAGTTTAACCCTCAGACTGGCTGTATAGATTACATTTATATTACACTGCATCTATACTGTCACGTTAGGTTATGTGTACGCTGTAGAATGTGAATGTAATTGTGTTATATATAGGTGGGCAGTCTGCAGGCTCTGAAGGGTTAACCACTATGTTAACTGCATCTTTCAGGTCATGGTTCCAGTACTATGCATCTGTGATCAGTGAACTAGTTAACAAAACATACAGCATAGTTGTGAAAAACTCTAGCCAACCACATTTCTCTGGTTTTCCCCACCTTAAAATGATTTTCATAATATTGAATAAAATGTCATTATGGATAAACATCTGGAGTTGTTGAAAAGGTATGTGAAGATGACATTTCCCTAAGAACCTAATCCAGCTTCTATTACAGCCAATAGAAGTCTGTCTGTTGACTTCACTGGAAGCTGGATCAGGCCCAAAATCTCCAAGTGATTTTAGAGGTTCTTGCATATATTTTTACAATCCTAAATGCAGTCAGTGATTGCTGTTGCTAAGTCTCTTCAATTATTTAATTGCTATCATGTTGTTAAATACAGCTGTAAGTGTCAAACATATTAGAAAGACCTTGGTGGATTCATTAACAAATGACAATGAACCAAAGTGCCTAACATTTGCACCTCTGATATGACTGTTGATAGATTTGCCTTTGAAAATTCTCTCTATCCTATTCCCCTTCCTGAACTCAGGAGGCTTGCAATACAATAGTGTACAATGCTGCTTTTTGATTTCTTAAAACATGGTCATGTAAAATCTAGTAAGAACAGAACACTGAATTCAGACTTTGGCTCCCTGGTTTTCCTCACTTGAGTCTAAGGGTGGTTAAACTGAAAAGATTTTCTAACAGCTAGACATCAGGCAGCCAACTAATTTAACTGCAAGTTGACCTCTATCAATTCCTTCAGAAATAAAGGAAGTGACACTATTTGTAAGAGTCACTCATCCATATTGCATGTTGGTTTACACCGCAAGCTCCAGACTTTTGACTCTTGCCTTGATTTTAGCTGACAGTCAATGCTTTCCTCTTGCCAGCTTGTCTAGGCGCTAGAGTGTGAGGAAAGAGAGGTGTCTGGACAAAATATTCAGCACTGACATTTTAAAAAATAATTAAAATTGATTTCCACAAAGAAGAAGGAGTTCTTAGCCTTAAACATGCTTATTTACTTACAGAAAGTATTTCAGGCACAAAAGGTTTGAGCATCAGTCACATACCAGATTAAATTTGTAACAGTATGAGTTTTTCCATGCAGTGCAATCAGCTACTTTTTCATATAAGAGCTGAACGATGTAGTCTGTAGAAATACATAGAGAAATAGAAAAAGGTGCATCATTCAAACTATAGTCTCGTGGTCCGAGCTGACTCCAGTAGGGTTTATATAACAACAGTATCTGTCGTAAGGGTTATTCTCCTTGTAGGAACAGACAATGATACTGTCTTTTGGAGCCACAAAAATGTTGTCCTCTGTGTCAGGGCAGGCAACTCTGTCCCAGGGAGGAGAAGAGCTCGTCTTCTCCAAGGCACTGAAAGTGGGACCCTCTCCCACGAACACGTTCCCCGGCATCTCCGGATAACAGGTCTCCAGGTATCTCAGCATCTCCTCCTGGTCCACCCTTTTGATCAGGCTTTTGCACTCTCCCGTGGTGGTGGTGGTGGTGGTGCAGATGGACACAGAGTCCTCTCCCTTCGGCACTCTCCTGCCCGGCAGGTGTGCCTGTCTGGCCAGCTCATCGCAGCTGCCCTTGCCCGACTCCAGATCCGAGGGCGTCCGCAGCAGCTCCACTACTTCCTTGTCTTTCCCCTTCTTGCAGCAGGGACGCGTGTTCTCGGGCCATTTGGTGCAGCCGTCCGTTTTCCTCGTGAGTGCAATGGCAGCGATGCCCGGCAAGCAAATCGCGGGCCCTATGGCCAGGAGGGGGATGTCCCCCAGGGTCTCCCCTTTCATCCCAGAAACGGTGAACATGAAGCCAAAGACCAGGAAGACGCTGACCAAAGCCACCACCAGTCCCGTCCGAGGGTTAATGTCGTCGGGTCTCATGGCTCCTCACCGGGCAGACCATCCGACCGCTCCTCGTCCCTGGGCTTTCGGAGCCTGCCTGGGAGCGCGTCCCTAGCTGTAGTGAGCGCACCCGCAAAAAAGTTTCCAGGGGGAAAAAAAGCCAGCGCCGATCCTGCTTCTCTGGCCACTGCCTTCCCGGGAGAAGGGGTCAAGGAGCAACCCCCTGCAGGTCCCCGGGAGCGCCCCTGCGCTGCTGCCAGGCGGGGTTAGCTGCCCCCCATGGGCGG